CTGATCCGCCACACTCCACAACATCCAAGCTTTGCTCCTCTCCGACACCCCAAGAAAAATGCCCCATTGTGCCTTAGGATCCAGCTTCCTCCGTTGCTGGTCGGGCACTTTGTACTGCGCCATGCACCCCCACACTCGTGCCATGGACACACTGGGCACCTTCCTGGTCCACATGAAGTAAGGGCTCTTGCCCCCTAGCCCCTTGCTGCCCATTCTGTTCTTAACCCAGTTGGCATATTGCACTGCTGCCCCCCACCAAGTATGGTCCAGCTGCGCATGAGCAAGCATGGCTCGGGCAAGGTCAATGAGGGTCTGGTTTAGCCGCTCCGCTGCCCCATTTTGCTGCGGTGTGTAGGCGACTAAAAGCTGGTGGGTGATGCCCTTGTCTTCAAGGAAAGACTCCAGATCCTTCCCCATGTACTCCCCACCCCGATCAGACCTAAGTATTTTCACCTTGGCCCCGGCTTCCCTCTCCGCATAGCGTATCCAACGCTTGAACACCTTGGCCACCTCATCCTTGGTTTTCACCAAGGTAACCCAACTTAGGCGGCTGAAGTCATCCAAGAAGGTGATGAAGTATTTGCTGCCCTTCTCCCTATCCGGTGTTTGCATGGGGCCACACACGTCCGTGTGCACCAACTCAAGAGGTGCGGAGGCTCTAGTGGTGGAGGTAGGGAAAGAGGTCCTTGGCAGCTTCCCGGTCGTGCAATCAGGGCACTTGCTTAGCTGCCCACCACCCTCCTTGATCTCCACACCCTTCAGCTCCCCCTTCTTCACACACTCCACAAGTTGCTGCCTTCCTGCATGCCCCATGCGTAGGTGCAGCAAATCTGTCGTCACCTGCTCCACGTCCCTCCAACGGCTGCTACAAGCGGCTTCCTCAGCTTCAACTCCATGTGCCCTCTCCACCTGAGGCACACAAACTGGAACAAGGTATAGGCCCTTCTCTAATTTGGCCTCCATCACCACAGCTCCACCCTTGCGAACGGTGCCACCTTCCATGGTGAAGGTGCATATACATTCTTGCCTTGCAAGTTGAGAGCATGAGAGAAGGTTGGCTGCCAAATCAGGAACATGAAGCACACCCTTCACATTCAGCACCTCTTCCTCCTTCCCCATGTCGGTGATGGTGCCGATGCCGATTGCTTGCAGCGTATCTCCGCTCCCCACAATGACATTTCTGGAGTTAGGTGGGAGGGAGTGATAAGTGGTGAAGAGGTCGCGCCGAGGTACCATTCCACAGGTTGCTCCAGAGTCTAGAATGAGCTGATTGGGGTCAGACAACGTACGACCAGTAAGTGCCGTCTCCTTCTCTAAGGATAAGAAGGAGAAGCCATCATCCGATAAGTCCTCCTTTCCCTTCTTATCCTCGTTTGCCGCCACTGCTGCCGCTTTCTCTTTGCTGCCCTTCTTGTTCCATGCTCCGTTCTTCATCCTCCTCTCCACCCACTCAGGCCTAGTGACAGGTGGAGCCTCTCCTGGGTACCCTTGAGGCTTCCACCCATCTGGTCGACTCCAGCACTCCTCCCAAGAGTGCTTCCGGTTGCATCCATGGACGAGGCACTTGTCGAGCTCCTTCTTCTTCCCCCCACCTCCGTGCCGCTGCTGGTACTTCTTGGAGGCAACCCTATCACCTGCCCCCATTCCCCTTCAACTCCTCTACCAGCATTACGCTTGCGAGCCTCATCAGAAACCAACACCTCCCATATCCAGGTCTTGGTCCATTTCTGCTGCTCTAGGTGAAGGTATTGTAGTAGAGCCTCGTTTGCTTCTTGGTCCAGCCCCTGGAGTGCGGTGTAGATGATCTCCTTCTCATCTACTTCATAGTTCAGCTCCTCCAATGCCCTCACATACTCATCCACCCTCTGGAGGTACTGCACCATGGTCTCCCCATCGCCATAGTTGCGTTCCATGGTGTAGAACCGCTTCCTCCAGGTGAGTATGCTTAACAACCCTTTTTGCAAATGTCGATCTTGAACTCTCTTCCATGCTAGTGCAGCTGCTCGTTGCTTGCCCTTCAGTTCAATCAGCATCTTTAGGAGCTCTAGTTGGCCTTCCAAGGCCCAACAAAGGTACTGGAACGCTTGCTTGTCCTTGCAGTCCCATGCTTCTTGTGCCTTAAGAAGCTCCTCTTAACTAAGCCGTTGCCTTCCGGTTCGCGGTGCTGCTGGTCCACCTCCACTTCCCTCAGTTATAGATGAGCTAGAGGCTCCCCCAGCCCCTTCTCCCACTTGGCTAGAGACTCCATTAGATGCCTTTCCTTCATCAGCTTCAGGTCTTCGCTCCGATCCCTCCAAAACGCCTTCTAGGTCTTTGATACCTAGCCAAAGCGTAAACTGGAACCGCCATAGCGAAAAATCTGAGCCGGTGAACCTAGGAGGGCCATCTAATTTATGGGCCATAACCAACCCTAGATCTGGAGATTCTTAAGCCAATTCGTAATATGATAATAGGAGGGAATGTCGCAGGCCTAACCAGCTCTGATACCACTGATGGAAAGCGCGTGAATCTGGAGAGCGTACAAGAGATTAAGTCCGCCGACTTCGACGGAACATTGCGTGCAGCTCACGTAACCTTAAACTATGAGCAGGTACGCGTTGGAACGGTCTTAATCTCTACTTTCCAGAATGGTAACGCACGCTTTCAACCAAGATTTAGGCCAATCGCTATCGCGATTTAAGTGCGACGGTGTATTCTGGCGGAATTAGTAGGCAGCCATGGATTAGACCAAAAGACTAGCTTAAGCAAGAGTTCAGATCTGAAAAGTGACGAGTTGTTCAAACCCTACCAACCCAACCCTCGCCCTATAACAATCCTCAACAACCCAAAGTGCTAAACTAGCAACACCAAAGGTGTTGTAGTGAATAGCAAAGGTTTGTTAGTGCTGGTTGGGTGCGAGATCAATACCAGCCCGCAACAAGGCTAATCACCACATTTTGCCCAAACCCTTCGCCCACAACCAGCTAGAGCAAAATACCACAACCACTTACACAATTAACACGCGGCCCCCAAGGCGCCGCGACGAGGCGACGGGAGGGCCGGCTGGCGGGCCCCGAAAGCGCCGCGACGAGGCGACGGGAGAGGCCTGCGTGCGGGCCCCCAAAACGCCGCGACGAGGCGACGGTCGGGGCCGGCGCGCGGGCCCCCAAGACGCCGCGACGAGGTGACGGGAGGGGCCGGCGCGCGGACCCTCAGGGCACCGCATGAAGTAGGAACCCGCTGCGCGCCTCGGGGTGCACGCCGGGCAGAAAACTGCCACGCGCTCTGAGCGTGTGGCGGGAAGAAAAAATAGGAGGTCGCGCGCCACGGGGCACGCGACACACAGTAGGGCAGCGGAAGCAGGTGGGCCCACAGGCCAGGAGCTTTTTGCTCTGATAGCATGTGAAGAATGAGGAACTTAGGCTAAGAAGCCATAGCTAGGTTTTAGGGTATATGAAAGAGAAATAGGAGAAGAAGGAGTTGAACTAGAAAGGAGGGGGATACAAGTAGCAAGCCCAAAAGGGTTATACTCACTTTTGAGTACCCCACTACAGACTAGACAAGCATTATAATCTGACATAGAACATTTCCAAATATACAGTTTTTGCTTTGCTCCAGCCTTCCTGTCCCTCCTGGCCCCATCCTCCCTGCCCCCTTCTTTGCCCCCCTTTATGCTCTTTGGTCGGACTGTGCTCGTTCCCAAAAAGGGGGACGCCTCCCTAGTAGACAATCTCCGCCCCATCACCTTTATGGTTGCGGAGTACAAGGTGTTAGCCTTCTGCTTGGCTAACCGTCTCCAACGTCTCCTTCTTCACATCATACACCCTTCTCAAACAGCCTTCATCAAATACTGAAACAAAGGCGACACGTTTAATGATACGCTATATAGTAGAGATTGGGCTACTTTCACACACACTCCCCTCTTTGTCCTGACGGTAGACTTCTGTAAGGCTTATGACCTGCTCGACCGATCCTTCTTATTCCAGGCTCTCTCCCACCTCGGCACCCTGGAATACATTCTTGACTGGATTCGTCTTGATACACTCCAACGCTTCTACCTGCATCCCTGTGAATAATATGGATGGTGCCCTCTTTTTTGTGCACAGTGGCGTCCAACAAGGATGCCCACTCGCCCCCTTGTGTCCGTCTATGCTATCAAGATTCTACATCGTTACATGTATTTATACCTCCCTGACTTCCCCCTATCGCCCACGAACAATCGTCTCATTGTTTGTTATACAGACGATATCACGATCTTTCTTTCACTAGACAAAGAGCTCAACACTTCCATTGCCCATCTCATGATCTTTGCGTCAATCTCTAGCGAACGCCCCAACTAGAATAAATGCCCCATCATCCCTTTCAATATACCAGAAAGCCTCATTACTGACGCAGGGAAAATCCCCATCCAGGCTTCCAATGAAGCTGAGCGTATTCTTGGAATATTTCGAGAAAACTTATCAAACACTACTACATGGACCACCACTCTCTCTCGCATTGAACGCTCCGCCAAATTCTTAGCGGCCCTCCGCGTGATCGCCACGTGTCACAAATCTCATGCCTCAACCTTCTTTAATTCCATTCTCTCTTTCCCTGGTCGCTTCCAACCTCCTCCCCGTGACATACTTGCCATACAATATACTGTTGTGAGCACCTTCCTATCATCGTCTCGGTTTAAGGAAACTAGTTTCGCCATGCCCATCATCCCATACCGGATTCTTTGCAATTCGACGCAACACGGTGCTACCCGCCCATCCATTCAAATCAAAGCTCCCACCATCCAACCCGCCCCCCGTTGTTTTGGTGCAACGCCCTCTGAGGAAGTTGCACGTTGTGCAATCTCCCTCCCTTGTGGCTCTCAAACTCAACGGCAGGCCCTTCAGTACCACGAAGGCTGAACGATTTTTGGAGGCCATAAACCGAAACTGGTTACCACCAAATATTTCTCTACAAGAGATTTCAAGCAAACCTGTTAACTAACAACAACGTCACAGTTGAATCAGTCGCAACCACGTAAAGAAATGGCTCCTATCTGGGGCTCCATTGGAGTCGACGGGCTCGGCCCCATTCCCGAAAGTGAATTCACCATCTATTTCCCCCTCACCGACCTTCAATCCGGTTACCAAGTCATCTCTGCTGTTCTGGAAGCGGTTCTCAAACTGTGGAAGGATGAGATTCTTGCCCCCTCCTTTGCCTCTGCCTCCCCAGGGGACTGGTTTATCCCACACTCCGACCTATGCTATGCCCCTTCCCTCATACTCCAAACGACATCGTTCACCCCTCCTTTCTCGGTCTCCGCCACTCTTCACCGGGTATTGCCAAACGAATTCTTTGAGCGTACTCCTCTCGGTTCCGGTATCTTCCATATCAAAGACGTCGTAGCGGTCCACATCAGAGGTGATTGGGTGGCCGGTCCGTTTTATACAGGTGCAGGGTTTGGCGCACGGTTGGAGATCCTTCGCAATGGTGTCCCATGGCTCTCTGCTTTCCCGCAACTACTCTATACGCGGCACCCGTTTAACCAAGACTCCCGTTGGATCCATGCCCTCTCCTCCCCCTTACCCATCGCCCTCCCCGACCTCTCCCACGCCTTCCTTCGCGAACAGCCTAGCCTTCAGCACGATGTTCTCTACAATTTCTACACCCGCTCTCTCCCTTCGGGCTCCCGGTTCATCTTTTCAACATATAGGGGGCCGATGCTCGCAATGCCCCTCTCACGAGATTGAGTCTACCTCACACATTTTCTTCACCTTCGGGGCACCCCTCGATGTGACGATGGTGTTGGGTTCAATTGCTCGTCGCCACATGGGCTGCTCCCCCCCCGACCGAGCACATCCTTTTCCTGCTCCCCTCTCGAGTTGGACAGACGAACGAGGAAGGTGGAGTGATAAGAAAAGGAAGAAGAATATCCGAATTTCGAGCAACGTCTTTTACGTGAGCACAAAGTGAGAGGAGGTTAAACGAAGGGGAAATGGAGGAGGACAGAAGGGGGGGGGGGGGGGGGGGTGGGGGAGGGGGAAGAGGCAGAAAGCAGGGGGGCACAGGGAAACTGACCCCCATGGACTCAAATATCGCCACATTTTCGCCCCTCCACAAAAAGTATGAAGTAGTGCATGCCAATCGTGCGGTGGTACATAATCTACAGCAGAATCTGCTGTGCGCCGCTCAACGTGGTCATAGTTATTAGTAGCTTCGGACTACCCTTTAGGTTCCCAAGCACTTTAATCGACGAATTCGGGTACATGTCCGGTTTAAAGCTCCTTGGTGTGTCTCACAGTTAATCCGATGGTGTCCTGAGGCTCTCTTCCGGTTTTCTAGAGTCCACCTGATGCCATCTACGCGGCCACGGCTGCCTGTCGTCTAACATATCAAAATCACTGTGCCAGTGGAGGATAAAAGCGAATGCGGCCAGGTGTGAAAGTTAGAACGAGAGAATGATTGAACTATGAAAGAGTTGGGCACAAGTACTAACCCTAATTGGGTTGTACCCCTTATAGGCTACCCCACTACAGCCTACACAAACGTATAAGCTATAATGTTCTGACACACCCCCATAGGAAAACTGGGGGAGAACAAGTGGTCACAAGACCAGTCAAGCAAAGCAAAGCAAGCTCAGGGTGGATCACAAAGTCACCACACAGTCCGAGTACAAGAGTAAGGCCACAAGGCCAGTTCACATGCAAGATTATATATATAAAGGTAAACAAGCAAGTGCAGGTATAGAAAGAGTACAGTACAAACAAGATCAAGAAGTGAGCAAGTGAGGCCAGGTAGACACAATACCTAGCAAAGTACGGAAGCGCTAATGATCACAAGGCGGAAGGGCCTTGGTGAAGATATCAGCAGTGTTGGCCTCAAATGTCACGTAGGTGAGGCGGAGCTGACCACGCTGCTGCAGCTCACGAGCCAAGAAGTAGCGGAGAGCAATGTGCTTCGTTCTGTGCTCCAGTCTGTGCTTCCGACACAAGGCCAGCATGGCCTTGTTGTCTACGTACAGAACTGGAGGAGAACAAGGCGGCTCTCCTAGGTCAGCCAGCAAGTAGGTGAGCCAGCGTAGCTCCTGTGCAGCCATGGCCCCTGCGTAGATCTCAGCCTCATAGCTGGAGCTGAGAACAGAAGACGAGCGGGTAGACCGCCACGAAACAGAGCCGGAGCCAGGACTGAAGGTGTAACCCTGTGACGACCATTGCAGAGCCTGGTCGTCAGCCCAAGAAGCGTCAGCGTGACCTGTGAGGACCACTCGACGTCGCCCTACAAGCACTAGCCCCATGCCCGACGTACTGCACACGTAGCGCAACACCCTCTTCGCTGCAGCCATGTGCTCTGGTCGGTGTCTCCCAGGAGCAACATAGCGTGCCAAGATGCTAAGAGGGTATGCAAGGTCAGGTAGTGTGCAGGTCATCAGGTACATGAGGCAGCCAACAAGCTCTGGGTACGGGCCACTCGGCTCTACGAACTCATCCGAAGGCAGAGCTGAGAGCGAGTGGCGAGTAGACAGAGGAGTGGCCTGAGGCGAGGAGTACGTGAAGTCGAAGCGCTGAAGGACCTGCTGCACCATGTGTGACTGAGTCAGGGTAATGGTGCGCTGTGCTCTGTCCCAGGTGATCTGCAAGCCAAGGTAGCTGCGCATTTCACCCAGGTCTGTGCACGTGTGTCTCTTCTGCAGCTCGGACTTCACGTGGGCGAGTCCAGCAGTGTCAACAGTGGCAAAGGCCAAGTCGTCGACGTACACGAGGATGTAGAACGGCGGCAAAGAGGTGTCGGTGCGTAGAAACAGCGACGGGTCGGCTGTAGAAGGAGCAAACCCAAGAGCCGCAAGTGTAGTCTTCAGTGTGTCGTGCCACTCACGGAGTGCCTGGCAGAGACTCTAGACTGGCCGCCGGAGGCTCCATTAGGTACCAGGGGGAAACGACCTAGTGAAGCCAGGTGGGCGGCGCAGCCAGATCTCCTCGTGCAGGCTGCCCTGCAGGAAAGCTGTGCTGAAATCAAGAGAGTGAAGCTCGTAGTCGCGCTGAGCGGCTATGTGCAGCAGCACCCGAAGAGTGGTCATCTTCGGGGTGGGAGAGAAGGTTTGAAAGTAGTCAACTCCCTGCCGCTGACTGAAGCCTCGAGATACATAACGTGCCTTGAAGACAGGCGGAGAACCCGGCGGCCGCTTCACCCTGAAAATCCACACGCCTCCGACGATGTTTGCCCCTCGTGGGGGAACCTCGTCAACGTCGGTGCCTATGGACTTCCACGAAGCCATCTCTGCATCCATGGCTGACTGCCACTGAGAGGAGTCGGGATGTCTGGTGCATCCGGGTCTCCCTCAGGGGCAATCAGCGTGGACACGAGATGGGGCAAAGCAGCCGCAAAGCACTAGAACTCCTCCTGCCTGTCCTCAAGGACGTCCGTGCTAAGAGCACACTCACCCCCGACGGACGGAGGACAGACTGACTCAGACTCAGCAACGAGATAGGCAGCATAGTCAAGACGATAGCGAACAACGAAGTCGACAAGCTCAGCAACTAGGGCAGACCCACCAGAGGACTCAAAGGAAGGATCAGTGACAACAGTAGCAAGGAGAAGCGTGACCGAAGGACTAGCAGCACGAAGGGAGTAAGACTACGGGTCAGCAAGAGCAGGAAGAGAGGACTCTGGAGGAGACGGCAACGGGACACGCAGAGGAGCAAAGGAAGGACGCGGCGCCATCTGGTGTGTGCCAGGGACCGCAGGAGGACGCGGACGCGCAGTACGACCACTAGTGCGAGCAGCACGAACAGGCGACGCAGGACGAGACGCAGGCTCACGACGCTCAGCAAGACCTCTAGTAGGACTAGTGTAGGGAGAAGGAGCAGGAAGAGGGGAGGCTGGCTGTAACTGTGACTGTGATTGGACAGGCGGTGGAAACTCTGAGGGAGCAGCAGAACCAAGAGAGGGCGGGAGACCAAGAACCTGCTCCAGGAGCGGAACAAAGTACGGCCTCGGCCACGCAGTTCCTACAAAACCAGCAAGGACGACACTAGTACCCCCAGCAGCAGCACCAGCGCCAGCAGCACCTCCAGCTCCAACAGCGCAAACTCCAGCACCCTTAGAAGCACCAGCGCTAGCAGCACCACTAGCGCCAACACCCTGAGCAGCTCCAGCTCCAGTAGGACCGTCAGCACCAGCAGCCTCAGCAGCACCCCAAGACGCACCAGCGCTAGTGGAAACACCAGCGCCAACACCCCCAGCAGCTCCAGCTCCAGCAGCACTAGTATCGCCAGCAGCTTCAGCAGGACCAACTCCAATAGCCCTAGCAGCACCCCCACTCTCAGCAGCACGTCTCTTGCAAAGGGCAAACCACTCGTGCAGCTCCTACGGAGAGAGTGGCTCCTGCCTCGACGAAGCACCGCCGGCGGCCACACGAGCAGACCCAGCGCCCCCAGGCTCCGCACCTCCAGGCTCCACACCCCCAGGCTCCGCACCCCCAGGCTCAGCACCCCCAGACTCAGCACCCCCAGTCTCAGCACCCCTAGTGTGAGCACCCCCAGACCCGGCACCCGCAGGCTCAGCACCTCTAGCAGCACTTGAGTCAACAGCTACCTCGACAGGCTCGACTGTGTCTACCTAGGACACACCTGAGGGGGCAGGACCCTGAGGTGGGAGGGGGTCTACCAGGGGAGGACCTGGTGCAAGGAAGAGCGGCGGCGGGGGGATGGGCGCAGTGCGGTAGGGGAAGAGACGGTAGTAGGGCACCGACTTGTCAAAGGTGACGTCCTGGGAGGACAGAAGACGGCGCGAGGTGGGGTGGTAAAACTGCCACCCAGGCGCGTCAGGGGGGAAGCCAAGGAAGATGCAGGGAACATCACGGAGTGACAGCTTGTCCGCAGACAAGTCGCGGACAAACGCCCGAGATCCCGAGATCCGAAATGCAGCCGCATCGCCAACCTTTCACGTCCACCGCAAGGCGGGGGAGGTCTCTGGCAAGGAGACCCGGGGCTGAAGGTTGAGCTAATGCGCGGCGAACTGAACCGCTAACGGCCACAGAAAATGGGGGGCAGCCGCATGCATCATGGACGTACGAGCGACGTCCATGACCATGCCAATGCGGCGCTCAGCAATCCCATTTTGCCGTGGAGAGGCCAGAAGCATGAAGGTCTCGCGGACGCCCTGTGCACAACAGAAGGCTCCCAGACGGCCTGAGGAAAACTCCCCGCCTCTGTCCGAGTGCAGACGCGGAACAGGAAAGTCTGAGCCAAAACTCTCTTTGAGGTGGTGACGAGCTGCGCGGATCCAGTCGATCAACACCTCAGTGACGTCACCCTTGTTGTGCAAGGGGAAGACTTTGGTGTAACGCGAGTAGTCATCAACCACCAGCAGGAAGTACCGCTCGCGCCCCTACCCACTGACGTGGGCTGGGCCCCACATGTCCATGTGGAGAGTCTGCAGCGGAGCCTCTGTCGGAGGAAACTCGGAGGAGTGAGGGGCGGCTGTGGTGTCGCCCCTCGACGCAGGGGACGCAGGTAGGGCCAGGTCCCAGAGGTAGGGGAGGGAGAGACCGAGGGAGACCAAAGACAAGGACACGGGAGGCGATGCCTCGGAGACGAGGCAAGGAGGGGTGACCAAGGTGGTGGTGCCAAAGGAGAGTCTGGTGGGACAGGAGACGACACGAGCACGGAGCCGAGTCAGGACCAGTCCTGGACGCTGCAGCAAACACCTGATTCGACGCAGCTACCTGGGCAGACTCAGTAGTCGGAGGAGACTCAGTAGTAAGGGTGTATAGGCTCGACCCTGGCCAATGGGTGAACGTGGCCAAGTGTCGGCCTGTCCGAGCACACGTGCACTGGGTCACTCGCTCACTCGCAGGAGTGAACTGGTCAACCCCCCCAATCCTCTAGGTCCGCTCCACTCACCAAGTTCGTAAAGAACGAGGGGAGGTAGAGACCTGATAGGGTTCCAGAGGTAAGACAGTGGAGAAGCTTAGCAAGAACAGGACCCCTAGAGGGGTCCGCTAGGGAGACTGCAACCGGCCGACTGAGCGGCGTAAGAGTGGGGCGGTCTCAAAAGTAGGAGCGGGACGCATTCGAGTCAAGGGTGAAGGTGTGGAAGGCCTGAGCCGACGTAGTACCTGAGAGAGCAAACTCACCAGCACCTAGGGTAGCAGACGCACTAGAGCAGCAGCCTCACCAGTACCTAGAGCGTTTGCCTCAACGCCCGGGTCACGCGGTACACACAGGTAACAGTCACCCTCAACACTAGTAGTCACAGAATACATGGCAGCAATGATAGCATCATAGTCAAGATCAAAGATGGCAACCCCCGCCCTAGACAGATCTCCTCAGCGAGGGATCTCTGACGCCTCAGGGAACTGGCGATGCCACGCGTCCGTCAGGCGACCGATGCAGCGCTGGGTGGAGTGCGAGCCTCCGCAC